GCTTTGCGCGAAATTCCAAAAAACAAACATGAATGAAATGGAGGCTACAAACATTTGAATTTAAGTTGCTAAATGAGAAACCAGATGAGCTGGAAAAAAAAGAAAAAAGAAGGTCTACCTTCCCAAAGCGCAGAAGTTATCAGGTTTCGTGTTTTATATTTTATTTACTTTTTTATTATCTTTTATCCTACATGCCTTCATAGTATCACGAACTATTACATGGAGGTTGAGTACGTTATATTAAAACGACTTAGGAGCCTCATCACGTCGTGACTGTGAATGTCGCCACGTTCGGTTGTACTCTATCTGACAACCATGCGTATCGACAATAGCTCTGCAACGTAGTTTCTATTACAAAAGGTTCAGTCGTAAGGCTGCCATGTCAAAAGCACACCATCTAGTTTACGAAGATGATGGTTTTCTAGCATCTATTTCACAGAAGTCCATAGATGCTGCATCTGGTGATTTGAGCAGTATGTCTTCGTATGGAATAGTCGTTTCATTCCCCAGCTGCCTGAGGTAAGCACTGGTTGAACGAATATGAGGAGGAAGTGTATTGTTTTACAAAGATATGACGGTCAAATCACCAGGTGTAGCGTTATTAATTTTATGAGATCGGACTATTTAAACGAGCACTGGGAAAACGCCGTCTTCTTACACTAGATGGCTGGCTTAGGGAAGAGTATATAATAGCCCTTTCCGACAAAAAAAATTAAGATCATAAAGGTGTGTTCAGAAAGTGTATTTAAAATTTCCGAGACGGGGACTGGAAAACAAACAAATTTGGGTCAATTTGAGGCAACAAAACTATCCAGAATGAGACTGCATAAAGTCGTACCCCAGTCGTGGTAAGCAAAATGCGGCGTCACGTAACAGGTGAGAATCTACAAATACAAAGGTCAGTGGCAAAAGCTATCCACATGCCCCAGACTTGCATCCAAGCCATGTTAAGTAAAATGCGAAGTCTTGTAATAGATGAGAATCTACAAATATAAAGGCAAATGTCAAAAGCCGTCCACGTGCAACAGGCATTACAATTAACAAAACCATCACAAGTCACGTGTACATTGCTTCCACGACTGTCGCATACCTCAAGCAACTGGAGAATGAAACGAGCATTCTACTTGTTACAGGTCTCTTTCTGGATGTTCCTTGTGTTACAAATTGATACACGTTGCTTAGTTTTAAAATCATTGAATACAAAAATATCCTCGTCTTGGAAGTTCTAAATCCCTAAACTGAATACGCTTGATTTGAATGTACGAATAATTTATGTCGAAAAGGACTATTATATACCCTTTCGAAAATCAATCAATTTTCGGTGGCACCACACTACTTACGTCATGCCAAACAATGTCAAAATATAGTTCTGATACATGACCTTACACTTATGTCGCTGTGACTGTCAAGTGACTTGCTGATTTGCATATTCAAAATCGTTTTGATATTACGTACTAAACCATCATTATATAGGTCGTTGTAATTTTATTTTGTATAATACAACTGATCGTGACTGGAAATATTGAGAAAGTAAATTACATTTCTTGCTCAAACAAAACAAATGACAGTCTCTTAAACATTTATCAATGTATCGCATGTACAGCATATTCGATTTATCCTTTAAGAACATATACAATATTTTATTCTTAACTTTATCCTTTATGCTTAAGTGAACTAAAGATCGTGATTCATAAATCACACTAAGCCCAGTTTATAGTTAGACACGAAGCTACTAATCTCTGCTTTTCGGTAATGTTGGATTCTCACCATGTCAAGATCAACAATTACAAAAATTGATTCCGTTTCGAAATGACAGATAGAGTTTACAAAAGCTTACCTTCAGTGGTATTACTATGTTTTGTTTTTAAAAAGTTGAATTTTCAGTAATTTTACAACTAGTTCATCAAAAAATGTTCAAGTAAGGTTTAGTAGTGTATTTCTTTATTTAAGCAGTAGTAAGAAATTAAAGATCATTATTCTGTTTATTATAAAATTTGCATTTGTTCTGAAATATGATTGTCGTTCTATGACCTCAAAATTAGTTTTTCGGAATGTTTTTATCGATAAATTTAGTAAAAATCTGTTTTGTCACGGCACAATCTTTCATTCAACATAAATATAAAGAAAAATTTGATCATAAGTAAACATGAATGTCCAACCTAGCGAGTCAAGATAATTCCTAAATCTAACAGTTTGAAGATTAATAACTGTTTTTTAAAAATATGATAAAGAAAAGTATTTTCAAACAAACGTGATTCTCATCACATTCCTTTATTTTCATATAAAATCGGGTTTCGAATTTGAATTGACCTGCTTGATATATAATTCATTAGATATCTTAAAAATGTATTTATGATAAGCATTATCTAATTTTGCATCAACCAATATAGTACAAATAACAAAATATTCTGAAAGTCTGATTAATGTTGGTTGGTGACAACTCATCTTTTTTAACAATGTATGCCAAACGTGTCACTCACCACCAGGTGGTGCTTTAGAAAAGTTTATATTTTCTAGTCCTACGTTATTTTATTTGCTTATAATGACGAGTAGGGATATACTAAAGAATGCTTCAAGTATAAATTAATACTGTTTTAAATAAAAAACCCAATAGAATATATACAGCAATAGATTTGTCTCTGATTAATATTTGTACAAATAATATCACCCCTTATATGTTCAGGATATGACGAATCAGAGAAATCGTTTGACAGTGATAAAAAATGACAACCAATCGAATATAATGTATTGGTGTTTTTACATATTTCAAACTTTGATGGGATTACGAAAATAGGTGGAGTCCAGATGGAAAGAAGAGAGAACACTTTATTTGAAAAAAGAATACAAGTGATATTGCTTTTGCTTTCGGAACTAAAGAAACATCTCTTATACCTTTAGTAGTTACTAAAGGCGGAAATGAAAGCTCAGGTGATCAAAAGTGCTTGCGATAACTTTAGAAAAAAGTTTCTTGAATCAAACCATATGTAGTTGAAAACACTTTACATTAAATATGAAAAAAAAAGGATGCCGACTTAAAAGTATTTGTAAAAACTCTAACTTATTAAAAAAATTAAAAATCATATAACATGTACTCGTATTAGTTACTAAATGTGTTCAATGATAATAGTATTGAAACTATGTTATATATTTTAGTGCTGACAACATCAACCGCAGAAATTGGATGCAGACTATAACTGTACAAAACATCTAGTACCTACACCACTAATAAAATTAGCAGAGCCCTCTACTGCAATTTACTACTGTGTATTTTTCAAAAAAAAAAGACTATATATAAAACTTTTTCCACTTAGATTTGTTACAAATTTGAAAGTCACATAGCGAAAAAATACGAAAATCGATTAGCCAGTAAATACAAATTATGTGTTTAACAGAGCGATAAGCTTAACTATGTCGTTTATCGGGGCACTACGGCCATGAAATAATCTAACATATAAACTGATAATCCATATATTCATATATAGACACTTCTACAGGCTTTTAGCATTATTTGCTTACATGTTTGACATTTCTACCGGTTTTGCCACTTTAAATTAATATTTATTTTTCTCCACTGTTTATACGATCGAAGGAAAAACTTTTTGATTCAGATTTTTTCTGTTATCTGCATTACAGAAATTATTCTCAGGTATGACATGTTTGTAATTGTACTTTAATATGTGGAATCTCTTCATCTTATCAAAATAATTCCATGTGGTTAGCTTTAACATCTCACACTGAGCTGAAACATTCAACAAAGACACGTGGAAAAGTCACGTGTTTTAGTGATTCTGGATTATTAGTCATTTATTTTGTGCTATGTCAGTTTGTGCCAACAGCGAACCTGGCGGTGATTTCCAGTAACTACTTCATTCCAGTGTTCCATAGCTTTTCCTCTGGCAAACATGTAGGATCCAAGAACAACTCTTCCCAGAGATTTATCTGGAATTTGCAAATAAATAAATAAATAAGCTAAATACCAACGGTATCTGCAGACTATCTATTTAAATATTAGAATTAATTGATAATTATGCTATTGTTATAAGCAAGTAATATACTATTATTTCCAGACATAAAGATATTAATATATGTTCAAAGTATTTTCAGTGAAGAGCATTTTGATGACAACGTTATAACTTTCAAGTAGAAATTATTGGCGTTTAAAGTTGAAGCTAATCTTTAACAGCCTTGCATAGTGGCACAGAGAATAATTTAGTTCAAATGACTATAATTTTCCCCCTAAATTTATCAAATAATTCTAGCGCCGCCCCAGTCGCTTAGCGGTAAAACTGCAGGTTAACGACATAAAAAAAATCGGGTTTCGATATTCGTGGTAGGCAGAACATAGATAGCTCACTGTGTAGCTTTGCGCTTAACAACAAACAACCAAATAAGATAATCGTATTTTAAAATGTCACGTATTTTGATTTTCTACTTATTGTGTAAAAGTAAAAACTGTAGAAATATTAGTTAGGGCTGGTTTATTTTTAAAAAAAAATAATAATGATATTGAACATTTTGAAAAATATAATCATAAACGCGAAGAAGCATGCTTTAGAAATTTATTGATAATTCAATTTAGCTTACTAAAACCAACAACGAAGCTAAAGATTGATAGTAATTCTCATTAGCGTACAAGTATCAGTGAAATCAAATTATTAAAGAAAGTATATAACACTAAATCTTCTTTTTTAGTCTTTTTAAGAACCAAAACATGTGATTTTTCCAGTTAAAGTAGAATGTTTCGCATTACAAACAAGAGAGGAAGCTGATTCTAGGTTTGGCAGTTTATTGAAGAAGTTTTAAGAAACGAACCTTTCTGACTTCCACTTGCCGCCATTACTTGTAAGATGAAGCTGGCCGTGTTGACACAGTTAGGAGCAAGACGGAATATAAAGGTTTCATTATATTTGGGCTCTGCTGTCTTTTTGGCTACAAGAGACTTTTTAGTTTTCACTGGTTTGTTGTCCAACATAAACGTGATTTTAACATAGGTATCTGTATAAACAAATGTGAGTTTAACATAGATGTCTGTATAAAAAACCATGAGTTGAAGAAATATCTGAAATTTTGAAAGTTTAACATAGATACATGTAACAAGCAAATAAGTACGAGAATAAACATGTTATATATGTATATATTTATAAACAAAGGGAAGTTTAACATTTCTTGTATAAGTGAAAACAGTTTTTAAACAAATACATTAAAAATAATGAAAACATAAGTATATACAGTAATATAGCAAAATAATATTCCTGTCCGTAAGTGTGAAATTATTTTTACTTATAAAAATCACAGTTTTATTTATTAAGCAATAAATCCTCGCAGGGTCTCACAATCTGCGGGTCGAGGGACTGAAACCAGTTGCCGAACATATTATCTTTTATAGACGTGAAGGCACTATAATGTGATGATCAATCTCAATATTCGTTAGTAAAGAGTAACCCAAAAGTTGGCGGTGGATGCTGTTGACTATTTGCCTTCGATCTAGCCTATCATTTCAAAATTAGGGATAGATAGCGCAGATAGCCCTAGAGTAGCTTTACGTGAAATTCAACAAGCAAACAAAATGAAAAAATGAATATTGAATTTTATTCCTTTACCAGGGAAGCAGTAAGTTTACGCACTTACAACGCGAAAATCCGGAGTTCGATTCCACCCGCGGTTGACACAGCAGATAGCCTGTTCTAAAACAAACAACATCCTCCAACGATTAAACTACTGTTTAATTTCTGAGTGCAAACATAAATTTTCAGCATTAGAATTAGTAAGTTAAGAGCTTACAATAATAGTTTAATGAAATTTCTATTTATTTATGTTAATATAACGAAAAATAATTGTAAACATTTTCAACATTTGAGTGGAATTAGATTATTGATTATTATATTAATTTAGCAACTTTAATAAAAGAAAAAATGTTATTCTTGTGGCTGGGAGTGCCTTAGAGACTAGCATACTCGGACTGTTAATCCGAGAATTCATGGTTCATAGTCCATTGCTGCAAAAACGCAATCCGTTCTTTGAGACCGTGTATATGATATAAGAGTGAAGGTCACATCCCACTATTTGGTCAGACAAGAGTAACCCTTGGTAATCTTTGGTGTTGTTAACTATTTGCATTCCTTTTATTAGCGACTGCTATGCGCAGATAGCCTTTTATGTAACATTCGGCGAAAATTCAGAAACAGAAAGAATAAAAATGTTCACGCTCGACTGAAGTAAACCTTTCACTATTAGGATAATTGTTTGTTGATATGAAATACAAGATGTTTTATATTTCTGAATATAAAACATACTTTACAACCGCAAGTAGGTTACTCACGGGAAGGTATTTAAATTCTAGTAAATCAGTTTGATTGTTGAATTTCGCGCAAAGCTACTCGAGCGTTAACCATTTCTAAATTTGAAGTATTAAAGAGAAGGTAGCTAATCAACACCACCCACCGCCAATGCTCGAGTTACTCCTTGCCAACGAAAATTGCGATTGACCGTTACATTATAATGGCATAATGAATAAAAGTGCAAGCATATTCGGTGGTGGGATTCGAACCCGAGATTGCTAGTCGAGTGTCCTAACCATCAGGCCATGCCAGGTCCATGCCAGGCTGAAATAATTAATAAAGGATTTGATGTAATCTTTCCTGTCGAACAAGTATTTGAGATGATCTAAGTTTGTTTAACATTCGAGATTTCTTATGGTATATTTGTAAGTATCAAGAACAGGAGATTGCTTGACTTAGCGCAAAGACACATTGGGCTATTTGCCCTGTTCACCGTGAGGAATAGAACCCTGGATTTTAGCGTTGTTTGTACGTAAACTTGTCGCTGACCCATTGGGGGACAAACGTGGAGGAGTTAGAAGTATTAAAAACCGTTAGGAGAATCAGTGATTACCGGTCTTTATGTAGGCTTATTATTATTTTTAGGATTATTAAGTGATATAGTGACGTTTAGGATATATTTTTTAGAGAATGGTACGTTGTGTTACAGTTGCTATGGTTTCTTTAATGTGGCGTAATAGTTACTACAGCTTCATTTATATGACTTCACCTATCTGCAGTAAATTTCAATACAGAGATTACTTCGGGTAATTTGTGTTGAACCGTTTTCAGGCTGTAGATGGTTTATCATTTGGATAATGATAGCCTATATGGCCACAAATATTGTTGGATTTGTTACTGAATTCACTTACTCAGAACAGTCGTGTCTTCAGGTAGTCGTAGACCTTGAACTTCGAATACTGTAACAGTCAGACGCTCCAAATTGTGGCTGTAGGTCATACTGACCAGCATCTCACCGTGTTCTGAAGAGGCCTTGCGTCATAAAAGCGTGAACATTATAATAATTTCTATATTTAAATACAATTATGTCCAAATTATATGCATATATATATATGCAAAATATTGTCCATCTGAAAAACATACTTTGTTGTATGGTAAAAGTTATATATATATATAAATTTATATACATACATACATACACACACACACACACACACATATATATATATATATCATCTTTAACGTAGATTGGGAACATTTTAAGGCATGAATTAGATTTTTTATTAATACTGAATTGGTTTCGTGATCTAAGTATCACTTTTCAGATATATCTGGGAAAAAGCAAGGTTAGGAGTTATTGAAATATAACACATACATAAAAAATAAGTAACGTCAAAATAAAATAAAAGTTATTTATAAAAGTATTTGTTGATTTATAAATATACGTACGTGGACAGTTTGTTTGTTGCTAAGTGCAGAGCTACATAATGAACCATCTGTGCTCTGCCCGTTGCGGGGATAGAAACCAGATTTTAACGCTATAACCTCTCAGAATTATCGCTGAGCTAGGCCATTGGAGGAGGGGCGTATGTGGAAAAATTAATTCAAATGTGGAGTAGAATGGAATAGAATAAAATTAAGACAAATGTAGAAAAATGTGTACAGGACGACATGTTAACGTCAGATATAGGAGAAATCAAACACAATATCCGCGAAAGTGTTATTTTAGAGAAAAATGGAGAATATACGAGTGTCGGAATCCCATACTACCCGACACTGCATGAAATATAAATCTTTCTCTCTCTCTTTCTAATAGAAAATGTGATTTAAAGGACCACGTCACTTGAAAATGTGAGCATATTCACAATCTTAAAGTTTGTTGAAATGTTTTTACTTTCATAAATGCGTTGTTAATTTATAATGGCTAACTACAAACTAACAAACAGGTGGAAATTATTTGTGTTTTTTCATACCCATGGTGAGTGGTGAGAAGATCTTGTTTGTTTGTAATTAAGTACAAAGCTACACAATGGGCTATCTGTGCTCTGCCCACCACAGGTATTATCTCAAAAACATATATTTACTAAAACCAGTTTATATGTGTCATCTAAAAGTGAAGGCAGAAAAATGCCAGAATTCTGTTCATGAAAAGCTACCGAATGAGTTTTATTTGAGATTTAATCTGAGGCTTAACTGTCTGATACCATTATCAGTCCCATATATTTGGTAATATTTTAAGTTTGTTAATAGTAAGCTAATAAAACTAATTGTAGAATTTTCAAATCGTTTTACAGTGTCATGTTTCAAGTAATGTAATGATATACATGGTAACTAGAAGTTATATTGATTTTAGAGACAGGAGATAATGAGATGCTTTGACTTTGCCAGCTGTACATTTTACACAATGGTGGACTCGTAGTGTATGGACCTTGTGTGCTTTAAAGCTTCGTACTTTTATAAATAAATTATAATAAATTTGTTAACGTAATTTACAGATACCCTATATATCACTTAAATTAGTAAAGTCTGAATGTAAATCACGGGTTTTCAACATTTAATAGTTCGACACAGCTTATCCAGGCTATAAATAATACAACCTTGTGTATTATGCAAGAATGTTAAGTGTTTTCTAGCCTCTTTAGTTAAATCTAATATTATTACAATATGTTTCAAATTTTTTATGTATACAAGCATATGTAAGTGTAATGTAAAATGCTAGTTGAAGCAGTGGTTATGTTTCTTTTGCACTAGGTACATATTGTTCTAGGTTATTCACTTATAGTATCACATTCGCCTTCCGTGCTTCTCATGAGAAAGACTTATGCAAAGTTGAGCACAATTTGTTAAAGTAGACAGTGATTTTTACACTGGTGTGTCAAGTGATATACTGAGAAAACATTGTTGTTTGATGGTCTGTCTGTTTACTTATTGTTAAGCACAAAGCTACACAATGGGCTATCTGCGTTCTTCCCACCGCGAGTATCAAAACCCGATTTTAAGCGCCGTCATTCCTCAGACTTACTGGTGAGCCACAAGAGAGATTTTTAGGTGGAAATGATCAACAGTGACGTAAGTAGCGTATGCAGTTTTTATTTCTTGTATATAATGTTATGTTTTTTCAGTTTGTACTAGATTCTTCTTCTTTACAACTATATTTGGAAGCTTCATTAAAGGCAGTATGTTAAGTAAATACACTTATTTTGATTGTGTTTGTAAAATAGGTAAAGATTATTTTCACTGTATTGTATATTTTATTGAGTCTTTTTCTTTTCTTCCCCTGTAAGTCTTCGGATTTACAACGCTAAAGCAAGCAGTTCCATTCCCCCTCGGTGGACACAGCAGATAGCCCAATGTGGCTTTGCTGTAAGAAAACACACACACACACACACACTCTTTTTTTTTTAATATATCAGCCAGAGATAGAGGTTTCAGAGTTACTCATGCAATGTTTTCTTTTTTTTTGTAGAACCTCCCATTATCTTGTGTATCCTACCCGATTACTCTTAGGAGAAATCAATAAACCTGATAATACCACACCTGTATAGAGCGTGTTACATTTAGTTGAGTACAAGCTATGTAGAGATACCATTATATCTTTAAGTGCACAACAAGTCACTGAATAAATTTCAAATGTTCAGATTAATGTAATAGGCGTCTTAGAGACAGAAGGTCTGTGTTATAATTTTATTGGAGACTAAGTGCTGTGCAATGATGACGACGAAAATTGGCCGAATCACATTTAAACAGTAATCAACCACATACGATACACTACTATAGTTGAACCTTTCTGCTTAATTCAAGTTTGTATGTTTCTTGGGAAACATTCAGTTTTTTGTATGTCTTAGAGAAATAGAAGAGTTAAGTCGATGATAGTGAAAAATATGTTTGAGGAAAGTTGAGTTGTGACACAGAATAACAGTACAGGTATGTCTTTAAAGAGAAAGGAAAACATAAGCATCTTTACCACCAGTTGTTCGTGTTTTTCATCTTTTTAAGTCAAAAATAAAAATACTAAAATATTTAAATGTTGACTCAAATAAAAAAAAAGGTGATTTTCTTTTAGCCTGCGGAGTTCTGTACACTATCCCGAACAACTTTCGGACTGTACCACCACAGTTTACGATTTGTTCATTACTTATTTAGAATTCTTGATTAGATTGAAGAATATCTTGTTTTTTATAACCTTAAAGTCTGCAATGTTTGTACACAATTTAACTAATGTGTTTTGGAAATATTTATGTTCATTGAAAATATCAAACAAATCTAAAATTGGGACTTGAAGTTATATAATATCTATCCAATAACAATATAGCTTTGACAATTTATTTAGCTAACTACTTATATAAAATGGCTGACGAATATGGAAGGTACGTTAAATTGGTCTTACAAGAGTGATTTTGTGTGAATTTTAACAACAATCTTGTGTGCGTTTAAAAGTTTTGGTGTTACTTTTATTAATACTCAAACGGTAAATAAGAGCTCTGGTTTCTTCTAAGTTACATTAATCGCAGAATTCTTCGTTTATTTAACTATTAGTTTAACACAAACGGCCGACTCTCCCAATATAGGGTTAAGCTATGCTTAAGTAGTAGAACAATCGAGGATAAAGGCACATCAAAATGGAACTTTACAAATGAAAAGGGCTGGCAAAGATCTTACAAGAAAACGTGGCATCGTGATTCCTAGAAAAAAAAACGTACAACATGATGTATTTGAAGCTTTTAGAATTTAGCTATTTCACAAAAGCTGAAGAAGGGGCGATGTCAGCCTTACGAGTATTCTGTGGTTTTCAGAATACCTAGACCAATACACAACACCCAATAAGCGCGAAAAAAAAAAAAAAAA